TGGTCAACAATGTGGACTATTCAGAATACCAAGTGACTGCTGTTTTCTGTTAAACTTCATTGTTGTTATTTAAAAAGTTTTATAGCAATTTCTATATATAAATTAATAGAAATTCTAAAGAAATTCTATAGGCCATATGTTTTAAAAGTTTATAGTAATTCTGTTGAACTTTTTTTCCGGGATTTTGTCACTCCGCCACTGTAGTGGATCATTGTGTCTATTTATTTCTGGTTCTTTCGGATATTTCCTTAGTTGAGTTTTAATGCCTTTTAGTAATTGTTGTTCATGTGCCCTGCCACCAGCGGACGTAGACTGAATAATTTTATCAATAAATTGCCAGAGTAATGATGATGATGATGTAGAAAAATTATTAAGCCCGGCTTATTTTGGTGGATTTTCTTCAGTTTTGTCAATTTTCTGTTCAGCATGCTCAGATTGACTTCAATCTTGTTTTTTCAGCTGTCAATGTTGCCTGTAATGAGGAGAATTTAGTTTTAAATTGTGAGTCAACCAGCCTCATCAGTATATAAAGAGGTTTCTTTTTTCAATGCTTTTAAAACGCTCATCCAATCACTTGATTAGGGTTGACATCATAGTCTTTATACCTGCATCATTGTAGAATATCGTGTGTCTTCCCTTCAGAATTTTTTGTTGCGTTGTTGTTTGAAATTAGACTAAGCTTATTAAATTATAAAGAAATATAAATACAAATACCAAAACAAATATGAGGTTCATAAAATATAGAATTACAAAAAAAAATTGATTTTTATAAATAAAATATTAGGTATACATGTAAACACGGGCAAAAAAAATGTAATAAATATTTGACAAAATTCAAAACTCCGGCTAAAATTATGCCGGATTTGCTAAATTTTTGCCGGAGCCGGATTTGTAAAAATGGCCCGATTTCGGCCGGAGCAGGAGCCGGAGCCGAAATCCGGTACAGCCCTACTCATAACCTTAACAATAAATTAAAATTATTTAAATAGAGTCATTAAAAGTAATAAATAAAAAAAACATGACATTTTTCTGTCATAATTTTTTTATATAAGTGAAACTTCTGGATTTTAATCAATTTCAATTGAAAGTGATGACAGTCCTGTTTACAATCTACAAATTATCTTAAAAATAAGACAATCAATCAAAGGAATGAGAACTGCTTAAATTTGATTTTGAATATTCCTGTTACAAATACAGTTGAGTAGTTAGATCTAAAAGCTTAACAGTAGTTTGACAAATAACTATAAAACTTGGTATAAATTACTCTTATTTAATACCACTGACCTTAAAAACCATCCATATCTTTCATTTTAAAATTACTGTCTTTGAAACACAAAGAACCATTGTTGAGTTGTCTTTTCATTTCGATCTTTGAAGTTTAAAAACGTATAAATGTACAACATAAGTGTACACCTATGGTTTTTCTAAAAGATATTTCAGTCAAACTTTAATTTGGTAAAAGTTATCTGATTGTAATGAAACTTTTCCATTTTTAATTGATTTAAATTAATAATGTCCATTATAAAGTTATAACACATTTCATATTACTCAGCATAAATTTATAATTTTATAATACTCACAAGGTTTTTAGCCATGATTTTATTTTCAAGCTGAAAATGTTTGAACCAATCATGCACATTATACAGCTAGTTGCAACAAGAGGTATGTGATTTAATCAAGTTTTTTTTTTATATATAGCTTTTAAAATTTGTACACAGAAATATCAAACTTTTATTGCAAAAAAGTTTTTTTAACAATTGGAGATAGCATTAAAAAATTACCATGATAATGATAATATGATACAATCTATATAATAAAAACAAAAAAATAGCAGTAATTTTTGATGTTACAGTGGATATGTGTTTGCTGCTTAAGTTATTTTTGATTAGAGGTTTAACTCTTTTTCAGTTAGCAAGTACTTAGTTATTATGTAGTTAGGTAGTTACTTATTAAATGGCTTGCTTACGGTTATAATATGCTTGACATCTTTTAAAAGAAACTTTTGAAAATTGTCCATAGAGAAAATTTCACAATAATAAAAAATCTATCATAGCATTTTACAACATGAAATTGTCATTTTACCTTGGAAAAGGGTATGGTTAGGGTTGGTATTAAGATTGCCTGCCTAACTTAGATCCTAAGTATATATGTAATGGAATTGTCATTTCACCTTGTATTTTTAACTAGATTTTCCAGTAAAATTTATTTTGTTAGTTTCTTTATAAACTTTGGTATTTTACTACTAGTAATGGGATTTTACCAATTGAACACCATTTTACCTTGTGAATAGTACTTAACAATGTAAATGAAATTTAGTTGATATTTTTGCAATGAAACGAATGAGCACATGCATCAACTGAATTAAATAGGGAGAAAATGCAGAGTGCATATATATTGGGGGAAAAGGGTATGATTACAGTTGGCATTAAGATTGCCTGCCCTAACTCAAATCCTGAGTGTATACACTCATCGCATGCTCTTTCTATTTTAATTTTTTTGTTATTCACCTCCTCAAGGCTGAGAACGCCACTACAGATGAGGAGGCTACTTAATAGTAGTTATAACCTTCTCTCAACTCTATAACTCCGAAACACGAACCTTGACAAACAAGGCCGCTGCACGGAGAAACAAGTTGAGCGCGGCACTACAAGGGACATGGTGGGGATCGAACTCGGAACCTCTCGCTTATGAAGTGAGTGTCTTACCACTACACCACTACCGCATATAATCAGTCAAAGCATGAAAATCAGTATGAAAAATAAAACAAAAAATAGCAAAAAAATGAAAATAAAATAAAACAAAAAGAAATAAGTAACAAACAAAGCTTAAATAAACATTTTCTGCTTGTAAATAGAATTGTAGGTTTTTTTAAAAAAAGATTTAACACAATTACTATAAACATGGTTGCTTTAATTTGTGTCACATAACAATAAGAAATCAGCTAATTATTAATAATAATATGACAGTAATATCAAGATAATAACACTAATATAACATTATTATTACAAATAATATTATTAATAATAATAATAATAATAATAATAATAATAATAATAATAATAATAGCAATAATAATAATATTAATAATAATAACAAATTACACAACAGTGAGCAGGGTGATGAATATGAAGGATTACATAAACTTTCATTACATAATTTCATAAGAGCCATATTTTTCTGTTTTATTTTTCAGAAATATGTACCAACAAATATATTTTAAAATATTAAAACAGTTTAACGATTTTTATTATTACTCATATTTTTGCATCAATTATATCAAAAAATTCTGTCTTATTTTACTTTTCTAACTTCTCATCTTTATAAACCATTTTTTTACTAAATGCCAAATTTTATTTAAAAAAAAGCTCTGCTGGAAACCTTGCAATATGCCCAAAATTAGTGCATATTTATGGATGCAATAATGCAACTTGTTTCTCTGTGCAGTAAACTTGTTTGTCGAGATTAATGTTTTGAAATAGTAAAGTAAAAAGCTTTAACAACAATTTAAAAGAAAAAATATATATGATTTATTTACCTTAAAAGTAGCAACCTTTTCAGCCTTAAGGATGTGAAAACAGTATAAAAAAAACTTTAGATCAAGGGGGGAGAATCTGTTAATTATGATTTTATATTAGCTTATAATTTTACCAGTGTAAATTACAATACTGATACATGAATACTATTAATGCCTGCCAATGATAGATTATTAGCATTATTGATACATGACACACATAAACAGGAAACAAAGATTTTATTGTCATTATTGTTGAACTAATAATGAATTATAAATATATTGAAATATTGGTAAAAAAATGTTATGGTATTTTAAGTTAAGTACAACTCAGAATTTTGCCACAATTATTGTTAAAAGTTTTTGTTTAAAATAGTTTTTATAAAAAGTTAAATCTTGCAATGAATATAATTTAATCTCGCAATGCTAATAAGTATTTCTAAAACAGCTAATGAAATAGATTTACTAATAATTTATAAACTTAATTAAACTTCATCAATCAATGTATGTGGACCAGCAGTGCTGGATCAAGGGAGGGGGGGCTAGGGGGACTATAGCCCCGGGCCCCAAAAATTTAGGGGCCCCAAAAAATTTTAGAGAACCTTTTTTTTTTTTAATTGTCATTTTTAGGCTCTGGCCCATAAAAAGGCCTCCGATAACAAAAATAGCCCCGGGCCCCAAAAAGTCTTAATCTGCCACTGTGGACCAGCATCAGGTATTCAAGGACAAAAATTAGGAATTGAAAAACAAATTCTTTACACATAGATTGGCATCAAATTAAAACAAACTTACACACACAGTTTTTTTATTTTTTTTTTATTTTTTGTTATTCACCTCCTCAAGGCCGAGAAGGCCACTACAGACGAGGAGGCTACTTAATAGTGGTTATAACCCTCTCTCAACTCTATAACTCCAAAACAAGAACCTTGACGAACAAGTTGAGCACGGTACTACCAGGGACATGGTGGGGATCGAACTCGGAACCTTTCGCTTATGAAGCAAGTGTTTTACCACTACACCACTACCGCAGTTATATCAGCAAAGAATTTTATTGATCTCGCAAGAAAATGAGTATGTAGAAAAAAATAATAAATAAGTGTAACAAATATACCATCACATGAAAAAATAAAATTAGCACTGTTTAGAGGATGTTACAGGTGTCACATTTGACAGTTGTTTACCAGTAAAAAATATATTTATATAAAATTTACAATATGACAATTTTCATATCTTTAAATATTTGTATTATTATTTGTAACATATTAACTAAAATAAAACTAACTTTTTCTGATGAATTAAAATAATAAACGATAATAGCAAACGTAAAAATATTAGCATAACTAACAAAATTTTTAGCAAAAAGATATCAACTTAATTGTATAACAACAAAGTTTACTTTTAAATACCTTTATTAAAACTAACTGAAAACAACTTCAATTTGTAGTAATCTATTTAACTTTTAGATTATTCTTTAAAATAAAGATTTTACCTTCCAACCTGAGCTAGATTCGTTGTAATAGGGAAAGCTTTCAGAAATCCACTGATAAATTTCAGCTAAAGTCATTTTTCCTTTTTCTGATGAGTTAATAGCAAACGTGATAATATTTGCATAACTATATGGAGGTTTTGACTTGCCATAAGATATGCTAGGGTCATATTTTGCATGCACGTCAAACTGTCCACCAGGTAATCGATAAGAAGTTAATTTGTCGTTTTCTTGAATATTTGCTTGAGAAACATTATTTTTTATGGCTCCCCCAACTGACATTTGAGGAAGCCAATCCATCGCAGTTAAACTTGAATTCAATTTCGCCATAACGTTTTCGTTTCTGTTGATTGTAGCTAAAGTGGTGAAGTATGGAATGTTTAAACCATGTATTATTAAGGAAATTAAAACAAAAAGCCAGATTGGTTTTTTTTTTTAATAAAGTTGCGCGCATTTTTTGAACACGTGCTTACTCAGTGTGTCAGAGGTGGACTTTTTCTTAATTGATTTTGCACTGCTGAGTAAAAACCTATTTTATTAATTCATTCATAAAACTTTTGGTTGACCTTAAAAACTAAAAATAAATTTTTTGTACGCTTTGTATGGAGGGCAGTTTTACTACTTTGTTGATTTAACAACGGACATATTTATATGTTTTTTATGTTTCTTATTTTTTGATATTTAAATTTTTATCGGCCAAAATTTTTCTTTGCATTGCACAAAAATATTTGCTTCGTTTGTACATTTTCTGTTTTTCCAATGGGGCTGTCCATTAATTAAGTCAACAATTTTTTGAAATTTTTACCTCCCCCCCCCTCCCCCTTATCAACAATTTGTCAAATTTCCAGAGACCCCCCTTTAAAATTACGTCAGTTATTGTTTACCCCCCCCCCCCCCCTATACAAAGAAGCTACGCTACAAACTCACCCAAATTTTCCGTTATTTAAACAATGAAACTCAAAAAAAAAGTTGTTGACATCAACTTTAATTGACCTCCCCCCCTACACCTTGTCAACAATTGTCAAAAAAGTTCAGACCCCCTTCTCCCAATTTTGTTGACGTAATTAATGGACAACCCCAATGACCTAGACTTTTTTCTGAAATTTTTCAATAATTTGCTGATTAGGAAAAACACCATAGTTTAATTTCTTTAATATCTACTTCAAACTCTTTAAGTTCAAAAAGTTTAGGTACGTAAAAAACATCTTGAATTGATTTGGATAGACAGTTTGTAGCCATTTTTATTCTGATAACACGGTGGGTGGGGGATCAGGATCAGTGGGGGATCACCTTGGCCCTCCGGTGTTGCCGGTCCTGAGTTGTAAGAAAAGGTTTCACACACACACACCACACACACACACACACACACACACACCCACACACACACACACACACACACACACACACACACACACACACACACACACACAAAACATTATTTGTTAAAAATTATTCATTTAAACAATTCTCTTTTATAAATTTTCATTCCAAAAAAAAAAGTGCACATTACATTTCAAAGTTTAAATACAATGGTCAGGAGAGATTTTTGTTAAGTTTTGTTCAATAAGTGGTAGATAATACGCAACAATCTTATATTCCATATAAGATTGCCATAAATTATAATAGATACACTTAAATAAATCCACACAAACAAAGCATTAAAACAAATGTTATACTGCATAATGTCATAATATTATCAAATCACCACTTGTGCCCAACGTTTTTCGTTTTACGTGTATCAAATTTGTAATAAAATCTGTCATTATAAGGGAATATAATCAGACATTCTGACAAGCTCAAAGAAAAACTATTTTCTATTTTTTAGTTCGCTTGAAAAACGTTGTTTTTAGAAAAATTAATTTTTTATTGTAGATTATTACTAAAAAGAAAAAAGGCGTTTTTCACCGTCACGACTGCGACTATTATAACAAATTTGGTTTTTTTATACAACCTAACTTTAATTTTTTTTAATTAGAAAATATTTAGCAAAAGCATTTTAGGTAAAATGAATATATATGTAAAAAAAAAAAATTAAAATGTCCTTGCCTGGAAAAAATAAAATGCAATTTCTTTTTTCATGACCGCGACGTTACGGATGTTTCGATGTTTAAATGCGTCGTTTCGATGCTTAAATGCAGCGTATAGATGTTGAAATGCGTCAAGGAAGAAGATTTAATTCGAAAAACCTTAATTAAAACATGTGTTATAAATAGTAATTTAAACAATTGATGCAACTGCGTATTTAAAGGTTATGAACTAATTTAAAATATAACTTATTTGACATATTCTACATAGAAATACAAGAAACTTATAAATGCAATAATTGAAAAATAAGGAGTTTGCTAAATTAGGACAGCGTAAACACAGAGAAAAGCTCAAGTTATTATTCTTTATTCTTCTTTTAGTCAAATGGAAGAAAATCATTCACGTTCGTCATAAGCGCGTGCTGTTAACCGCGTTAAATTGGCTTTACCAAAGTTGTTCCAAAATGCAGATTGTATCATTAAACAGTTATCAATAGAAATGAACATCTTTTTATCAGATATATCAAAGATAAAAAAGCGCATCCGTTTATCTTCACATGTATTCAGTCATGCACTAGAGTTTTACAACCGCGAAGAAACATCTCGATGGACTCCAGATATGAAAGACTTTTGATGATGAAAACGTTACTTGTTACTGAAATTAAGGAAATGTTATGACCTGTACTCCAGAAGAATTTGATAGCAAGGTGAAATTTTCTGAATTTTGTGCACATCGTCACATAACTTTGCTCAAATACTTACATATTCAGGGACTCCTCTTGAGACCTGCTGTTGTCTAATTCATGAATATTTTATTAATATATGCGATTTATCATCAAACCTTAATTTTGAATCTTATAACTCAAACTGGGTAAACGAATGGAATTTGTTTATATTACTAAAATTAAATAAACGTTTTTAAAACAAAACACAAAAAGTCAGCTCTACGCGAACCGGCCGGATGTCACGTAAAGTTAACAGTTTTTTTAATTTTTTTTCGTTTTTACAACTTTAATTTTTTATTATTTTTTAATTTTTCATTCTTTGATGAAAACGACTTAGTTTTGCTGGTTAACAATATAGTTGCATTTATCTAATTAAGCATAGATGCAGCGAGACCAAAAATTTCTTAGCTTGAAGCGACAAGAACAAAATCTTGCTAAGGCGATAAGTTCAGAAACAACATAGTTAAACTGGGTTTCAGGAAGAGGGGATACCAAAAAAGGACAGCATTTACACCTAATACATTCCTATAAAAGACAATTGCATCAGCTAAATTAGTTTAATTGCCAGGCTGATCTACATTGACTAATGCTTGATTGATAGCCGCTTAACGTGTTGTTACTGCTGATTGCCATGCTTGATAGGCTTAATCAAATGCATGCTTAAGACGATCTTTTCTGTCGAACTCTTCGAATAAATTAAAGAAACGTATTTGTAAATATATTACTGCTTGAGCCATTTTGATGTACATAGTATCTCAGATATTTAATTGCAGCGTTAGTAATAAGATGGGTAAAACTTTAACAAGATAAAACAATAAGCGCCGGTGCTCAAGAGGATATTTGTTGATTTGTTTGTTGAAAACGAGAGCTTGGCACTGTTAAAATGATTCTAGAATATTATCTCCTCTTATGAAATCCAAGTTTCCTTATCGAAGCAATTAGGTATAACCAGTTTGAAGTTGTAAAGTATCTTTACCAAAGCTGTCCTCCAAGCAGAAAATTTGATCATGCTTGGCAAATTGAGGCTTTTTAAAAATCAGTGCATATTGGGTCATTAGAAAGTGTGAAATTTCTGACTGATGAAAAATGTGAATGAGAATATTGTATAATCGCCTTAGCCGCGAGAAAAAAACAAACAGAAAAAAAAAAATAACTTTGTTACATAACGCTGATCACCCATGGAATAGATATGCAAACCTCGCTGTTTATGATGGTGCTCATGCTGATATTACCAAGTGGACGACTAGATTTAAATGTCTCTCCAAAATGGTAGAAAATAATCCTAATGCTGTAAAATTACTGAACAAGGGTGCTGTAAAATTATTGAACAAGGGTGTCCTTGCCGATAAAATGAATTATAAAGAAGCTCAAGAAGCTGTTGAAAAAAATGGTATGAACGCTTTAAGAGCTCACGTTGTAAAAAGAAATGCGTGGTAAAACTTTTTAAAGGCTAATACTTTTTAAAGGCTAAAACTTTTTAAAGGCTAAAACTTTTTAAGACTAATACTAATTCAGCAAATTTTAGCTCCTAACCAAGATATAACAAGCGAATATATCGACAGATATATTGAATTTGATAAAATGTAATTCTCACTGCGAATGTTAAATGCTAATTTAAATTCTTGATAACTTCATAAGTTTTTGCTCTTTCCTTAATAGGTAATGATTCGGTCATTATAATAATTTTATTAGAAATGTTTATTATTTATGAATCAAGGTAAGACGCATATAAGTATATATATCAAGTAACTCTCGCGAATTTTGCACGGAGTTGTAACTTTTTTTAACCACGCAACTCGCTAATATACTTATGAAATTCTTTATTGTTATTTTTAGCCACCTTAATCTTATATATATATCAATATATATATATATATATATATATATATATATATATATATATATATATATATATATATATATATATATATATATATATATATATATATATATATATACCAGAAGCAATAGTTTTAAAATTTCTACCTAAAATAAATAAGTGTGGCTCTCTCACCTGGCCAAATTTTATCCAAGTTGATGCTGGAAGTAAATTTTAAGGGGCTTCTACAAAACCTCTTGAAGAAAATAAGATCCAGATCATGCGAGCTGTAAAATGTTGTAAAATCAATTAACAGCCAAACTACACGCTTACTAGTGAAAAAACTAATACTTGCAATAAAAATGGAAAAAACAATTTTAGCCACATCGGTGCCTGCTGCAAGAAAAGAATATTTATTTTCTCCTAGTGTAAAAGTTCTTTACTTGTATGCTCCAGGTGAGCTGCCTCTATTTTGTTTTTAAAGATTGATTCAGTATTTCGACAAATAGGTTAACCAGCTCTTTATTGTCTTGTTGGAGGACCGAATAGACGATTCACTCATGAAGAGTTACAACTTGTTCCGTCTGAAATCCAGTTACCTCCTGATAGAATACTTAAATAAGTTTATGACCATATGCCAAAGTTGTAATTTCATCTTGAGTGATCCACCTTTTGGTATCAAGAGAAGATAGAGATGTTTTTACTTGCTCATACACACCAATTTAGTGTCTTTTGCTTTGAATTCCAACTTGTGTGTGTTTTAGTTCAACCTACTCGTTAATGCACTGCTTGTACGATTCATGTTTAAGATCTTTT